GCCTTACTGATCCCCTCCAAAAGCTGAATCAAATTTGGTCGATCAAGCTTATAGCTTGAAAGCCTTTGCCGCAATGTGTTTGGAAAGCTTACTGAGTTAAAAATCATCTGATAATCAGGCCTATCGAAATAGCCAAGGGATTGGAAGTGCTTCATTATCGGTATAAAGATAAGAGATGTTCTGCAGATAAAGCACGGATGTGTCGATCCAACTTTGGTAAAGGGAGTTGAACGTGTTACAAACCCTGTTTTGCACAACTTTTCAATAGAAGTTTCTTCTTTTACACCTGTAACGGTCTCTGGATGCGTTAAATGAGCCCATGGTAGTGGATCTCGTAGCTCTACAATCATATATGCCCATGACCAAAGATCATCGACTCGACCCTAAAGCACTGGATTTTTTTCTGATTTGAGATTTTCAGATATCAAACTTACCTGTTCTTGTCCTTTATGCACAGATAAAGAGCAATATCGAAGGGTGCCGCGAAAAGAAACCTACAGATAATTTGATTATAGCAAAGGTTTATGCGATAAGATTACTTACAAGAAAAACTAACATGATTCCTCCTCCTCTTAATCAACCATTCATTTTTCTCATTTTTAAAAGCGTACTTTCTTGTCATCCCTAAAATCATTTCACAGTTATGCGAAACCTATTTGAGGTTAGAAGTAGGGTGTTTATGATCTCACCAAAATCGAAAACATGTATGATTCTAGGATGAGATGTCGACACGGCAAAGTTGCATGGCTTCACATCACGATGAATGAAACCGATTTCATGTAGCTGGGAACAAGCTATTGAGGGATCATCATTGGCTTAGATACTTTAAACTAAGGGTAAGAGCGTTTAATCGTGATGAGATCGTACAGTTGCGGGCCCCTTTTCCCCTTCCCATCCCAAAATTTTGAGAAGTGAGATATTCAACGCGTAAAAAACCCAATCTCATTTATTATTGATCATATTCGAGCCCCAGTTAAAGATAATTGCTGGAAAGGACGTGGTTCAGTTCTACCACCAGCCATGTCCTTTTTGGCGACTTTCTTTCTCGCGAAAGGTGTCACAGCTTTTTCTGCGAAGTTGAGATTGAAACGTCAATGAATAAGTTTTCATACTATTGAACAATATTACATTTAAAAGCTTCATTCCCTCCACATCGCAACAGACATGACCTTTGCAGTGATTTCCCTATATATCCCTATAACAAGGTAGGAAAAATTAGATATTAGGCTTTGACTGTTCCCGTTCGTCAAATTTTACCGAAACATATCTTCACAAGACAAAATAAATTATATGGGCTTTTCTTGTTCTTTTTTAAGCCGTTACAGTTGTTAGTGAAACACGTTATTTCGAAGTCCAACGTTTGGCACAACGCCTTCTTCAGAGGTCTGAAAGTGATTCCTTCACCTTTTATCATATGTTCCAACCCACCAGACACCTCCTCCATCCCTTATATTCG